ATGGCCTACTCAAGATCAAATCTAGATTTGTAATCATTCAATATATTTAATTTTCTTGACGTGTAATTGTTTTAGAACATTGTAGAGTTTATTCCCTGCTGATTTTTATTCAAATGTGTTATATGTTCACACATTTACCTCAAATAAAGTGTTTTTTTAACAGCATATCTATCTTTTGCTACATTGTCGCTCGCGTCACAACAGCTAAAGGCTGTCTACACTGGATGCAACAAAATGCCCATTGCAAATCATTTGTCCTTTGTGTCAGTTCATCATAAATAGAACGAGGCATCAGTTTACTGTTGGAGATTTGTCTCTAACATTGTGCTTCACCCAGTGTAGACAGAAACAGAATCACTGATTATAATAAGCTTTAATGTGTTTAGTCATGTCGCTCACATCCGGTGTAAACAAGGTGTAAATCTGACTGTATGTAAATCTGACATATATGACTATGTATATATGGAGGGCAAAATATATTTTGCAATGTTAAAAAAAAATAAAACATTTATATTTTTTTAATATATTTTTAAGAATATACAAAAAAAAAATTGGCCAAAAAGTATATTGGTAAAAATATATATTTACGTAAATATATTTTGAAACATACTTTAGCAAATATATTTTTGTGTATTTTGAAATATATTTAAAAATATATGTGTAAATATATTTTTTTGCTGCATGGGATAGATCGAACTTCAGAATTTTTGTATTTCCATATTCTGATCGACAGAAAAGTTATAATGGCAAATTAATATTTTGGCTTAACACATTTCATGTTTAAAGTCCGCATGAAATCAAAATTGACTTTATTTACTTTACTCGCACACATTGCTAGTCTTGATGTGAACAATTAAACCATGCAAGTTAATCCGCTGAAAAAAATTGTTTGTCTTGGTAATCAAAATCTGACCATTTACTTCCGTTCTGGAATTGCATTCCTTCTCTGATGACGTCAGTTTGATGGCTTGAGCAGAATATCCTTAAACACACCCCTCCAACCGTTAGTTTGCTATGAGAGAGATGAGAGGAGGAGCGAAAAAATAAAACCCTGCCCTCTCCTCAATATTCCGTTTCAGCTGGAAATACGTCACTTCACTGAAATAAAGTCGGCAGCAACTTCCGGTTCACCAAGACTTTAAGGCCAACGAGGAATTTTTGCTGATTTTAGTTTGTTTTAAAAAAAATTTCTAAATCCTAGAAATTTAAGTTATTAACTAATTTTTTCTGCTTGAAAACATTAAAGGGATAGTTCACCCAAAAATGAAAATTCTGCCATTAATTACTCTCCCTCATGTCGTTCCAAACCCGTAAGACCTTCATTCATCTTCAGAACACAAATTAAGATATTTTTTGATGAAATCAATGAGAAATCAATTGAAATCAAAGTTTTTTGACCCTGCATAGACAGCAATGCAACTGAAAAGTTCAAGGTCCAGAAAGGTAGTAAGGACATTGTTAAAATAGTCCATGTGACATCAGTGGCTCAGCCATAACGGTGGTTTAGCAACAGTGAATGAGACCCATTGCCACACATTTACACTCATGCTGTATAATGAGCATTTTCTGATATTTACATAAAAAGTCCGTCCTCCCTCACATGAGTGAGTAGATATGAAAATATGCGTGGGACAGAACACTCAATGAATAAAAGCAGCCTGGACGCTTTCTTGAACTAATTTTGAGTTCACCCACGCAGAGCAGTACAAACTGCAAATGAGTCACTTTTCACAAGCATACTCACATTTCTGCCTCTCTTTGAGTCCTGCACCTCTATGACACAACATCTCAAATGACCCATATCAGACGGTAAATGTATAATCAAAACCTAGTGAGCAATTAAGGATATGCAGAGGGGTCAAAGTGATTTTCTGTGGATTGGGAGTGAAATTCATAATAATCAGAGCATTGACCCATTTAATCAGTGCTGTGATGAACTCCTGCATCTTTTCACTGCTTGAGTGAGAAACTCGGCTCAGTCCAACTATGTGGCAACTAGTCTATAACAGCAGGCATCCTTTAAGCAGAGCAGATTGAAGAGGAGTGGGAAATATATTTAAGAGCTCTCCATTTCAGAGCAACAGACTCAAATGAAATGAAAATGATCTCCTTGCACATTAAAGAGTGGGTGATTTGAGAGATGCAAAACTGCTTCTTTCCTTATTTTCTGCATTGAGCCATTTGATAAGCTAAACATTTTGCCATCCTGTTTTACTGCACCCTATCCTGCACCTAGAAATGCCCATGTAACAGGTGAAAAACAGTATGTGAGATGAGTAGTATGTCCAAATTCAGCATAGTATTTATAAAACAGTAGGCGAAAAGTACACAGATGACTTACTACTTCTGGTGAGATTCTAAAGTGCGCATCTGATGGACACTTTACTATCCCATGAGGCCACAGCAGTGGAGTTATGAATTCCAGTGAAGCGACATATGGCAGATACAGTCATGTCCGAATTTCATTCATACCCAGTTTCATTTTACCGGTCACAAAGTAATTATTAAACTATATATACCTACTAGACAGTATGCAATTCGGAGTCTACTCTAGTCTTGCAGAGCCTGTGTAACTGACATCACACTAATGACATCACCTCTAAGATCCAGTCTCCCAGAGCTGCTACTGCACACATACACACACATACAGTACTTATATTCTCAACAATGCAAATAAACAAGACCGTTTATTTTGGCAAAACAGATTAACGCAGGTAATTGAGAACAAGCTGCCATGTCATCAAGTCAATGTCTATTGCCATGGAAACAGAGTAATTGTCTGATGTCCCCCAAGTCTCTTTTTCTGCATCTTCAGATTAGTCCTTCAGTTTATTCTTTATTTTCTGCTGCTTTACATCTGTTGCGATACAGTAACGTTATGGTGCTTTGATGCTTAAATCTACATTTAAACTATATCATAATGTCAGAAACATTACGCTGGTACTGCAATCTGGAATGTGTAAAATTTTAATTCTATTTCAGGCCAAGAACACACTGGAGAGAGATAGAGCAGGGACCCCTTAGTACTTAATGTATAAAACTGAGTGTTGTATGTTAAGCCTGACTTACAAAACATCAATACAGTACCATATTAATGCATTTACATACTTTGTTATGATGCTTATTGTACTCACTGATGCTTACTGTATGATATATATTATTGGTGTACAGTAAAATGCTTTATATTTTTATGTATTAAGTAACATTTAGCTTAAATTTAACTTAAAATTACACAACCACCCAAAGGTTTGGGGTTGTTAAGATTTTTTAAGTTTTTTATGTAATTGATACAAAAATACAATAAAAACAGCAACATTGTGAATTAATTATTTAATTATTATAATTTAAGCAACATGTGTGTGTGTGTGTGTGTGTGTGTGTCTTTTTTTTATTATTATCAAGGTTGGAAACATTCGGGCTGCTTAATATTTTTGTGAAAACAGTGATATATTTTTCCGGATTCTTTGATGAATAGGAAGTTCAGAATTTCTTCTTTTTCTATGTAAGTCAATGGCTACCAGCAACTGTTTGGTTACCAACAGTCTTGAAAATGTCTTCTTTTGCATTCAACGTAAGGAAGAAATTCATATAGGTCTCAAATACAACATGATGGTAAATAAATGATAAAACATTTAATTTTTGGGTGAACTTTCCCTTCAAAAGAAATGCATGGCCAGAGATGGTTCAGTATTTCTGCCATTGAGCTACAGTATATCAGTTTAGATCGGGACATGGCAATGGGCAGCCTTTGAAAAGCTGACTGACAGTGGCTCTAGTGAAAAGTCATACCTGCTCGAGAGACCTGCTTCCTGCTGCCCTCACTGCTGAATAAAGAAATGCAGTTGATAACCAAGACTAAAGTAAGTTGGAAGAACTCAACATCTCAAAGTCTCTTATTCCACATTTTACTTCTTAAGTACATAATCTTTTTCAAATGGTCATACTTTTTCAGTCTGTCTTCATATCTATCTCTCTCTTTCTCGCTCCTACAGTACATACACCTCGCACCTTTGATGTGGAGAGAGCTTAATGGAGTGAGTGTCCTGATATTTTTCACTTGATTTCAAGAAACAGATCAAATGAGGAGTGATGGGCCATGGAGAACTGGGCAGAGGGAAACATCCTGATGCTCAATGGACTGATCATCAGTCACATCAACCAAAATACAGCCACTTCGGTCTCCACAGACACACCTGTGATCAGCAGCTCATTTAAAGACCCCATGAAATCAACTGAAAAGCACAGTTTTCTATAAAGGAATGACTAAATTAGTATAAACTTTATTTACATTATCTTTTATTGATACATTGGCATGTAGATGATCTGAAAGCTAACTGGCATGGACTAAAAGGCATTTAAAGGAGTCAATGGAGCAATTTCATAAATTTGCAAGGTGACATTGTATTTTATTCTAATGTATACTCAGTAAACAAATACTGTTCAATAGTTTGGGTCACAAAGATTTAAAAAAATGTATACTTTTATTCAAGTATACATTAAATTGTTTAAAAGTAGTATTTCAAACAAATGTCATTGAACTTTCTATTCATCAAAGAATCCTGGAAAAATTTATAATGGTTTTCTTTTCACAATACATTTTAAAATGTATTAAAAAAACAGTTAAGTTGTACTAATATTTCCCAATACTACTGTTTTTACTCTATGTTTTAACAAACAAATACAACCTTAGTGAGCATTTAAAATTGAGTCCATACAGAAATTTCTGATGTTGCTGAGACTGAGACACACTGTTTTCATTTCACATTTTCTTCTGAAACTCTAAAAGGTCTTTACATACACAAGATAACTGGAGTCTTTTTCTTAGGAGAAATATCTGAAAAATTTAATATTTAAATGGAAAACTCCATTACAGTCTAGAAAACAAATCATTTATACATTTCCGTTCCTAAAAGTCAATCTTATGACTTACTTTCAAAGCCGCTACTCTAAGATCTGCTCATAGTGAAGATGAAATGGAGTTAAACTGTAAGCTGGCTAACTTTATTACATTCTGTACATGTTCGGATTTATCCATGTGGTTTAGTGTTGGTGTTTTTCGGTCACTTTAAGCAGTGAGGTCATGAGGGAGAACACCACACACCGCCTAAACATTACAGACAAGCCAGAATGTGGTAAATAATGCAAGAGGTGGCAGTCAGGTCTCTCACAGCACGCAATGTTAAATATTCATCTAAGGTGGGCAACCCATGCCGAGTCTTGCTCGTATTTATGGCATTAGACATCTCGTTCCTTAGTCACCAGTGTTCACCCTTACCAAAAAGTAGTATACTTCAAGTTTATTTTAGTAAGTATACTTAAGTAAAGTTGAAGTATATTTTTAAGTATCCTTTATGTAGTAAGTATACAAATATCAGTGTACTAGTAGTATTCTTGTAAGTGTACTATTTCAATGTGATGTCATTGTGATTTTGATGTCATACACCGATCGGTCTGCACACACAAACAAAGCCAAAACCTAGATATTTTAGGCAATATAGAAATCCAGGCCAGGACGCGTCCTGGAAAAATGGCACGTATGGTCACCCTATGTTAGAATACATGTGGAAGCATCTGTTGTTTCGGTTTCTTCTTCACTTGTGTTTTTTGGTATTCTGTACAGAAGATGTGTACTAGCGCCCCCTACAGTATAACAATGAAAACACGGATTCTAGGAACACAAGTATAGCTCAAATATATTTAGACTTTTTCTAAGTATAAGTCAAGTATACTTAAATGACATTTTAAGTATATTTCTGAGAAGTACATAAAGCCCATTTCTGAGAAGTACATAAAAAGTAGACTAAAAGTATACTTTCCTATTTTTAGTTTAAAAGAAGTATACTAATGGCACACTTGAATAAACTTATTTTTCGTAAGGGCAGCCAAACAAACAGAGCATTTCAATGAAACATGAACCCGGAGAGCATCTAAACAACATCCACTTTGGGTGCAGGAGAGCACGGTTTACTGTTTTACTCTTCTTTTTGCTGAGTCAAAAGATGACCTGACAAAAATGTGGCGATAAGAAACAGATCATTAATTGAGTAAGATTTAACTTTGGTATCAGCATCTTGATCTTCATCTGATCAACGTCCACCAGCACATTTCTCTACAAAATCATCCTGAAATTTAATTTTGATAAAGGAAGGGCACAGAGTGCTTCTTTATTGGCTTTGTCTGCTGAAGGGGGCTCCGTTTCCACCTTATCACTTATTTTCAGCTTAAAGTAAAGCAATGGCTCTTAACATCCTGGTGTTGAGCCCCCAAACAGCTACATTATAGCAACATTATAGGGTTAACAGAGGTCATCTACTTTACCTCCTTCATAAAAGTACAGTTCCAGAGTGCCATTATCTGCCATTTCTATATCTGAATTGTAGCAATTTCACAGCTCATTAAAAATGGTTTGTTTTAAACTAGCAATCAGCAATAATTCTTTACCACCCACATACATAATAAGGGAAGACCAATGTATTCAATACAATATTAAACACAAGTCAATAAGCATTAAAGCACAACGGAGGGCATTAAAGCTTGTAGGCATGTAGAGATGGTTTAAATTGCAGGCACATAATGAGGACCAATTATCATCTAATTTGGATCACACAAAACACCTAGTGGAAACAAAATGGGAGTATTGGCGGAGATATGCAATATCAGACTTCATTTCCATCTACAGAAAATGATACAACCTTCCCACATTAAATATGTCAAAACCATCTTCCTGGAAACAGGATGATTAACTCAGAGCTTATTCGGAGAGTCTGGCATGTATAAAAATACATATCATTAACATATAACATCCTCAGCCCCCAGTTACAAACCATTTCTCAAGAAGGTGAGGAAGGCGAGAACTTTTCTAGAAGCCTTTTGCAGAGCATCAGTCCACTAATGCATCCACTCTAACCCTGTCCTGCATAAATATACATTACAGATGGCATTTCATTTTGAACTTGTTTGTTTGTTAAATGAGCCATGCTCACATTCATAATTGCATTTTCCAACATTAATTATAATTGTGCGGGTATGGGTGTGGGTGTGAGAGAGGACATGCCAGTCGAGGGTGGACTGCAGGGCTGCATCTGGTGAGATGCTTCCTGATGTCTCCTGAGCGCCCAGCTCAGAGAAAACAGGTCATCAGCACTAGCACACGGCACACTGACTACACATTTAAACAATGCCTGCAGGTGGGACTTGTCATGCCCAGAGCTCCAAGCAGATGCATTTGGGGGAAATACAGACCAGATTTATGCTCCAGAAATTAGAAAGCAGTTATTTTATCTACCCTGAGAGATGCTGTGGCTTACTTGCATCAGCTTGAGCATTTGGGCCCTCCAATGTAGTCATCACTTCTCAGATTATTAAAAGCATGAATGTATCTTGAGAGATGACACGGATTCTTTCTTTACCGCCCTACAAAGGAAAAAATCAAAAGGAGCCTACAAAGTACTTTAAAATGTCTCAACCGACAACTGTAGCATTTCATCAATATTTATAAATTGTGACAGGAGACATAACAGCCAACAGGCTTGCACAGAAGTGCCATCAAGACCATTTATGCTAGGGAGTTTTTAACCAAGACATTTAGACTTCCATTTGAAACAAATGCTGTTCTTTTAAACTTTTTATTGATCAAAGAATAAAAACATAAAGCAGAGAAGAAAGAAGAAGAATTATACACAAAAATATTAAGCAGCACAACTGTTTTCAACATTATTAATAATAAGAAATGTTTCTTGAGCACCAAATCTTGTTAGAATGATTTGTCTGAACGATAATGTGACATAAGACCTATTTATAGCAGCAATCCGTATGGAATTTGACTGTTTGATTCATGTATTAGACTAACGTCGAAGGCTGACACAGAAGAGAAGAAATTGTTGAATAAAGTAATTATTTTTGTTTTCTTTGCACACAAAAAGTATTCTCGTATTTTCATAAAATTACATTTGAACCACTGATGTCACATGGTCTATTTTAACGATGTCCTTACTACCTTTCTGGGCCTTGAACGTGGTAGTTACATTACTGTCTATAGATCTTAATTTTTGTTCCGAATATGAATGAAGGTTTTTACGGGTTTGGAACAACATGAGGGTGAGCAATTAATAGCAGAATTTTCATTTTTGGGTGAACTATCCCTTTAAGGGTGCACTAAGCGATTTTTGAAAAAACGCTTTTGACCACAGCGTTGGAACGAGTCCCAAAACACACTTGTAGCCAATCAGCAGTAAAGGGGCGTGTCTTGTGTAACGAATCAGCTCATGGGGAAATATGAATAATTAATCATAACTAGTTATATTAATTTGCAAATGTAATTCGCTTGGGGTGTGGATGCACAAATTAATAAAGATTCTTAGAACACTAATATGTTGCATAGGTATAAGCATGTCATATGCACTCTCAGTTAGTAAGGCAGTGATTTTCCCCACCTAAATTCCAAGAGGTCGTAAATGTATCTGGTGTCAGGGTTGCCATGGTAACCAGTAGGGATGCACGATATATTGGCCACCATATCGGTATCGGCCGATAAATGCTAATTTTTTCTGTTATCGGTATCGGCCTGATAAGAAAATTTGTCCGATATCTTAAAGCCGATAAATAATGTTTGTGTGGTTTTTCTGCTCTCAGTTGGGTATGATTTTACACTTAGTTTCATTATTATGTCAAATAAATAATTTCTGTTATGCTGTTAATGCATTGATGTTGGGTTGATATTTGCATTTACTGTTGTGGCTTTTTGGGGCATATTATCTAAGGACAATAGCCTGTATAATTGTAGTCCGTAAGAAAATTAGACGTACTATATGAAAGGCACTTTTCATAGAAGAGTTTATTCTAACCATTTTTATTTTATTTTATTTATTTGGTAAAATTATGTTAGCGCCAGGAGATTCGCATATCTGCCGTTTGATTTAGCTGTTTTGTTATTTTTGTTTTATTTAACCGCTGGGTCTGGTTTAACTGCTCCCTTGTTAGCATTGGATCAGTGTTGGGTCATAACTATATCCCAGAGAGATATTGAGGGGAGGGGGATGGGACAGCCTGTATTGTTCAAGATGACAGCTAATGGGGTTTGCTTATGGCAGGTTTTTGAATTTGTTTTTAGAGTTGTTATAATAACTCCTAACTGGTTGATTTTTTTGTTAACGTTCACACATCGAATTATCTATGTTATATACTCTGTTGATATACTGTACAATTTGTTAAAACAAAATCTCACAAATTAAGAAGCTTAAATTCACCTCTTGGATTGTTAGGGGGATGATTAAAATAGTTAAGCTTAAGCAAGTTATGACAAGGATTAACCAACTTGAATCTTCTATAGTTTTCTTACAGGAGACTCATTTACTCAAAGAGGAGCTCCAGAAGGTACAAAGAAGATGGTCAGGTCAGGTCTTGGCTTCATGTTTTCTTCTCATTCGAGAGGGGTTATGGTGTTGATTCATAAGGCTGTACCCTTCCAAGTAAATAAAAGTATTACAGATAAGGTTGGTAGATATTTGATAGTACAGGGAACTTACATGAGTAAAATTATTAATTTAGTTAACATTTATGGTCCAAATGAAGATAACCCCATATTTTAAGAAAATATATTTTTACTGATTGCCTCTCTTCCTGGTACAGTTATAGTAGCAGGTGACTTTAATTGCACTCTGGACCCGTCACTTGACCGCTCTTCAGGACTTGATAGCTCTCACAGTCAAAGTAGACAATAAATCCTACAAAGTATGAAAGATTTGAATTTATGTGACCCTTGGAGAACTCTAAATCCATTAAAAAAGGAATATTCCTGTTTCTCTTCTTTATCTAAATCCTCTTCTCGTATAGATTATTTTTTGATTTCTGTTTCTCTACTTCCTAATATAGACAGTTGTATATATGACAGTGCGGTTTTATCAGATCACTCCCCCACTTCATTATTTTATATAGATTCTCAACTCACTAAAGGTTCCCCTAGATGGCAATTGCACCCTAAATGGCTGCAAAACTCTGACCTCATTAAATTTGTTGGTGAACAGATAGACTTGTATTTTGCAATAAATACTGATCAGACTTCTGCGGCCACTAGATGGGAAGCCTTTAAGGCATGTATTAGGGGACAAATGATTAGTTATACCAGCTCTAAATTTAATAAATTTAAACAAAAGATGCTTGATTTAGATTCTGAAATCAGAGATTTAGAGAATTTAGTAAAAATAGATAAGTCAATAAAAATTAAACAAAAGTTAGTTGCTCTAAAAGCTGAATATGAGGAACTTTCCACACTAAAAGCAGAAAACAGTATATTAAGATTGAATCAAACTTTTTATGACCAGGGTGAAAAACCCAGCAAACTACTGGCCTGGCAACATAAGAAATTAATATCAGAAAAAGCTATTAATGAAATTAGGAATGAAAAAGGAGGAATTACTATAGATCCAGGTGAGATTAACTATACATTTGTCTCATTTTATAAATCTCTGTTTCAGTCGGAATTTCCTATAAGCTCCTATAATCAACTTTTCAATTCAATTTCAACTTTTTAGATGGGTTGGAAATTCCCTCTGTCTCTGAAGAGATAGGAATGAAGTTAGACAGAGTATTGGAATTAGAAGAGATTTCCAGTGCAATTCTCAGTATGAGGGGTGGTAAAGCGTCGGGCCTGGATGGACTCCCAATTGACATCTATAAGGAATACAAAGAGAAACGAATGGGTCCATTATTGGATATGTATGTCCTGATTACTCTTATTCTAAAACCGGGAAAATCGCCTGTAGAATGAGGTTCTTACAGGCTAATTTCCCTTTTGAATTCAGATGCAAAAATTATTGCTAAAGCCTTGGCAATGAGGCTTGAGAAGGTCCTGCCCCAACTGATAAGTACAGATCAAAATGGCTTTGTTAAGAATCGACAAGGGTTCCACAATGTCAGAATGGTGCTTAATTGAGTGCATGCGGGAGGAGTAACCTTCTGATATGGCCATCCTGTCGCTCGATGCCGAAAAGGCATTCGACAGACTTGAATGGCCGTATTTAATGGAGGTGCTTGCGCGATTTGGATTTGGTGACTATTTTTGTAGATGGATGAAAATTCTGTTGGTTGACTCTACTGCGGAGGTACTCACAAATAATTTTATCTCACAACTATTTAAACTAAGTCGCGGATCCAGACAAGGTTCACCACTCTCAACTCTACATTTTGTATTGGCTATGGAGCCACTGGCTATAGCAATAAGATATCATCCTTCAATTCATGGTATACATACCGTTGTCCTGGAACATCGCATTGCCTTATATGCAGATGATACCATTGTATTTCTATCAGAACTTGGAAAATCAATACCATCTCTTTTAAAACTTATGGACCTGTTTGGCAAATTCTCTGGTTTCAGAGTAAATAAAGAGAAATCCTCAATTATGTTTCTCAATGAACAGGAGAGAATAAATCCAAAGGTAGCACACCCATTTATAAATGCGGTAAATGGTTTTGATTACCTAAGAATTAAAATAACTAAAATATGCTCCCTTAGTTCAGCGAATTATGAACCTTTATTAT